ACGGGTCGTCGTCGAGCGAAGAGTCACAACGACATTCAACGCCGGGCTCTCCCCGATAGCTTCGGGCTAGGTGTGCGTACCAATTTCGACCGTATAGATGATTCGGGCATACCTGGACCTGGGGTGTACATTGACGAACGAAGCGATTACGGCGACTACGATTACGACGATGATGAGTCGGCGGAACCTGAATCCCCACCCGCTGCAATCGATATCAACGCAAGCCATATAGAAAACTCGTACTTTCCTCCGACACAAGAACTTATACCAAAGGATGGTACTGTTGTCAAGCCATGGGTAGATGGACCGTTGCAGCCACACCCGCCAAACCCATCAGCTCGATATCAGCCGCCCACATCCAATGCTGCGATGATGCGCTTCTTGGTGCGAGCGAAGGACGTTGAACAAGCTTCACTCGCGGCAACCGTTGGCTCACGCCGTCTCAGCGAGTCTGATATTGGTAGCATACGTGCAGCTCCCGGTGTTATCAAAGTCATTGAACCCGAGCCACGAAAGAGCAAGGAGCGACAACGGCGGCCCAGCTTCTTGGAAAACATTCTACCCAAACGTACACCAAGCAATATACTCAAGCGCAAGGGCAGTATACCAGTGCAGCAGTCTGATGCAGCCTCGGACAAGTCCAAGGAGCCCATCATGGAGAAGCCGAAACGTATAGGTAGTTGGGGTCGTCCAAAATCTCCTCGAGTTGATACAAACCTAAGCAGTCATAGCAAGGACGGGGGACAACTTAGTTCAGTAGGTCTGTCTGCGGCAGCGGGCCCGTGGTACAAAGGTCCCAAAAATGCCATCAGACGTACTCGAAGCAGGAGCGATATCGGGAGAGGGAGATCGCCTGGGCTGGCTGAGCTGATGACGCAGCACGGAGGTCCACCGATGCCTATGTTAGCTTCACCGCTCGCGGACACAGAGGCCACGAAGCCTTCCGCACAGCCAAGTCCAGCTGGAGACGATGATGAAGATGACCAAGATCCCATTAGTATGGATCTCACGGTCCGCACCGACCCCATTGTCCCGACGTACGACGGCTTCAGAAGTCATGCTAGACAACTGAACCCACGCCTGGCTGATTTCATGGTTGAGCGTATCACCCAGGAGCAAATGCGCAGATACAAGAGATTATTGGAGTTCAAGGTCAAGCATCTCAACGCCGTACAGCATAAGAATTGTGCCTCTGCAAAGTTTTGTACTGACCTCGGTGGTGAGGCGAAGCAACTCCCTCCGAAAGCCGGTGCCAAGGATGCCGAAACTCCTTTCATCGGTTTCCAGGTCACTGCACCTGGTTCTTCCGACGACGATGGCGAGCCCCCGCTAGAAGGTAATGTGGCTCCTGCCGCGTTCCCATCAGGTGTACCTCTTCCCCCTGTCAAGCGCCTACCAGCCGAGTTCGAATGCACATTGTGTTTCAAGGTCAAAAAGTTCTACAAGCCGTCCGATTGGACCAAGCATGTGCATGAAGACGTACAGCCTTTCACATGCACCTTCCCCAATTGCGGGGAACCGAAATCGTTCAAGCGCAAGGCGGACTGGGTCAGACATGAGAACGAGCGACACCGTCAGCTGGAGAACTGGACATGTCAGATCGCAGACTGCAACCATACCTGCTATCGCAAGGACAACTTCGTGCAGCATCTGGTTCGTGAGCACAAAATAGCTGAGCCACGGCAACGTACCCGAGCCGCTCACAAAGACGCGACAGCAACTGGTGACCAGGGTGAGATGGGCAAGTCTTTTTGTTTGAGATCTCGCTAACGCAAAGGCAGATGACATTTGGGCCATTGTCGAAAGATGTCGTCGCGACACGACTAAGCAACCCAAGGACGAGCCATGCCGGTTTTGTGGCAACATCTGTACGAGCTGGAAGAAATTGACTGTTCACTTGGCAAAACACATGGAGCAGCTCAGCATGCCCATTCTTACGCTTGTGGACCAGAAGCAGCTCAACGCGGACAGCATCATTAGCCCCGTGGTAGAGCTACCCGAAAGCCGCAAGCTCTCCATCACTCCAGGCCGTTCGCCACTAGATAACCCGTCGCGCTACAATCCTAATGCCGCATATGCACCTGGTATCGACCCTCACAGTCTTTATCCTCAGGAAACAAAATCTCAGGCAGGATCTACGCCGATGCAAACCTACCCCCCACCACAAATGGCACCGCCACCGACTCAGACTAGCGGTTATGCGAACTATGTGGCAAACAATGCCACAAATTTCACGAACCAGACCTACCCAGGCCTACAGGTCCCTCGGAAGCCACACAATGGCTATACGAACGGGCTGCAAATTCCTAGTCAGCCATACCAGAATGGGAATATGCAGAACGGGGTGCAGCAATATGGCATGAATCCTGTTAATACAGTTCAACAACAGCAGTCGCTGTACACAGACTCTCCGGTCGACGCTACGACTACACCTTTTCCTTCCTACTACACTCAAGAGCCGCAGGGCTTGACGACTGAGATGCCGAACATGGGCTACGATACCAACAACGCTATGTCTTACCAACAAGGCAGCACCTACCCTGCCATGTCGTATCTGACGGCACAACACAACTATCAATACCAACATCAGCAATAGACGGGGATGGATTATGGGAGGGGTTTCGATCGACACGCCCATAGGATAGGCGTAGGATCTGATTTTGTTTTGGCTCACGTTGATTTCGTACGATATCCACTCTTGCACAGCGGAAGAGGTTTTCATGTTTACGAGGCGAATTTGGTTTAGACGCGTTACGATACCTACTGTCGCTTCGGATTCGAATTGGATCGACTACATTGTCGCATCTGATGGTGCAATAGGCATGCATGGTATTATAGACATCGGCGCGTTAATTGCATCAATTTCTCAATGCCTCGATTTTCCATACTTTGTTGTCCGCTCCATACGATATAGTACCATTTGTGAGGTACATCGTACACTTTAAGCTGCGACCCACTTAAAGCCCCTAGGTACCTTCCACTCCACAAGGGCGTGATTGCACGACAGCCATCGCCAGCGCCAGTAAAACCCCTTTGCGCGAGTACAATGCCTGACTTATTTTCAAACCTCCAGCCCCCGCGCCCTGTCATACACACATCAGCGCGGCGTGCTAAATCGATCGCGCCGCCGGGGAGGAACCCGGTCCGAGGCTGTGATTGGCTGCATGCGTCTCCCACGCACATGGAGGACTCTCAACACAGCCACCCGCAACTTGGAGTCCTCCATCTGCAATTCGGTGAACGGCTCGCTAGGTGCATCCCCAGCACGAATGAGCTGTCAGAAAGAGAAAGAGGGCAAAGAGGGCACCGGTCGCCTTCCTGGTAGCGCCCCTGCGCGAGGAGGACTGGGAGGCCGCCCACATGCGGCGCACCCTCGCCATCGCGATCACAGGCGTACAACTGCGATAACCACTACGTGTGGAAAGAACCCGTGACGACATACTACAGTCCTCTATTTTAGCCATCTCGAATCGAAGTCCTCCGATACAGCCAGTGCAGGGCAAGTGCACGCGATGAGGTGACAGCGTCTTGGTATTGGAGCCTTTCCTCATATCTCACCGGCAGGCAGCGCATGCCCGTGCGCATGGGACACGAAACGGAGGACCTCACACACATTACCTGTTACATGTACCCATCTGGCTTGTCGTCTTAGCAGATTGGGGCGGTGTGCTGCAGCTGGAATCTACTAATGCACAGCTGCGCGCCTGTTCCTCTGAAACGGTTTGCGTACGGCGTTCCTTGAGGCAGGCGTAAGGCTTCCATATCGCAGTAGGCTGACGAGTTGAGATTACAGGTATGTGTTGTTGTTGCCTTTTCTATACTCTTGTTTCTCTTCTTGTCTCTACTTATATACTGATGCTTGTACGACGATGATGCCTCTTTCCATGTTCGAGAGCTGGTTGGGATGAATTGGGTGGCATGTTGGTGCCTGAGGCAGCCCCGAAAGATGCTGACCCATGATAGCGAACATGTCACTCCACAACCAGAACGGGGACTATCAACAGTCTTATAACATCTCAGTTCCCAACCAATACTATGGCCGCCAGATACCTGCACTGCACATTGATCCTGTGCAGACGCAGCAGAGCACGTTTTCTCAACAATCACGGAGTGCACATAGTGTACGGAGCCAAAGATCTAGCTCATCAGCCTCCTTACATACTCCAAGAAATACTTCACATGCAAGAGATTTCGATCGCATGAACTATCGTCAGACCAATCTCTCTCCGTTGGACAATGGTATTGGATCCCATATGCCGAGGGATTTTGACCTTCTCGATCCACAATATGTACGGCCTTATCATGGCTCGACTGCAGTTAGAGGGCCGGAGCCAGCATGGAGCCCGTACAATCTGAGGCTATCTCAGTCTGGTAATTCTCATGGTCTTTCCCCTCGATCGAATGTGAATTTCCAGTTCCCATGGAGTCCGGGATCTGACGTTGATAGTCAGGCTTTGCCATCTGACGAGGGTTACGTTTCGCGGAACACCAAGTCGGTCATAAGCAATGATCCCGATCATCTCCATCAGGAGCTATCGGCAAGTTTCATGTCAGATATTAACAATATGCATGTCGAGTCTGCCACAAGCGAGGCTCCTACGATGTCACGGATGCCTTCAGATCAACGATCCCATGTCAGCAGTCGTAGTGGGAGGTCAAGGTCCAAGAAAGACTTTCCATGCTACGAGTGCCCAGAAGTACTCAAGTGCAACTCAGAGTTCAAGTGCGTATGGGCATCACTATGAGATGACCATGTGCTGATGAAGGTGACAGGAAACACATGCTCAAACACAGCAAACCCTTCAAGTGTGACGTACCCGGCTGCAAAAGGGTAGAGGGGTTCACAACTACGAATGATCTTGAGCGGCATCAGAAAAGCCTACATCGGAAGGACATTGACAAGAAGTCCTACCAGTGTGCTGTGGAGGATTGTAGGAACAAAGAGAAAGTCTGGCCGCGCCTAGACAACTTCAAGCAGCATGTTGAGAGGATGCACAAAGATGAGAACGTACTCGATCTCGTAGAAAGGTAGATTTGCACATTTCATGCTTTAAGAGTCAGCTAAGCTGACATTGATAGATCGGTATGGCGTCCCAGGCGAGTCGACTCTCCTATAGACGGTAAAACGATTGTTACACCCCTGGACATTGGGTCAACAGTAGCTGGCATGGAGATTCCCTTCTCCATAAGCCCAACGATGGGCAACATCTCTATGATGGACTTTCCCATGATACAGGATGCCAGATACCTATCTTCGCCAAGCCAGGACTCACTGTTTGTGCCTAAAGCACAGCCACCATCTCGGCTCTCTGGACCTGGGTTTACTTCCGCACCACACAACAGCCGTGTTCAGAAAACGCCGAAGATAATTCGTTCTCGGCATAATGCACCGGGGATACAAGATGCTCTCTCCACTATCAAGGCCGCTCCTGGCGCGTCTGGAAGTAACCATGTCAAGATTCAAAAGTCCTCACAGGGTTCTTCTTTATCCAATGCACCCCAGACTAAGGCTGAGCAGCAAGCGCTAGAGCTCAAGAGGAAATCTGAACACCGCTTGCATTCGCCGGAGCCTGTGGACATTGAGAGTCGCATACTAGAGTTGCTGCAAAAGGCCAACCGCGACGATAGATTTAGGAGGCCGTCCAAGTCTGAGAAGAATGATGCATTGTTAAAGATGATGGCTGAGCTTGTCAACAAAGGCCCAAGAACCCCCGACACAGAACAGCGTCGCTCCAGCAAGAGCTCTTCAAACAATGACAAGACATGTCCGATGTCTGGCTGCGAATTTGCGGTCGCTCGTGATTGCGATCTGCGTAAGCATATCAAGCGACATAACAGGCCTTATGGATGCACATATCCCAAGTGCCACAAACGCTTTGGCGCAAAGTCAGATTGGAAGCGCCACGAGAACAGTCAGCATTTCCAGCAGGAAGCCTTCCGCTGCGGCCAAGAACTTCAGACAGGCCAGGTCTGTGGTGTGCATCTATACCGCGAAGGAGCGTTCAAGAACCACCTGGAGAGGGAGCATAAGATGGCATGTGAAGTTGCTCAAGAGAGTGTCAACCTCCGCAGGATTGGCAAGAACTGCCAAGGTACCTTCTGGTGTGGCCTGTGCAAAGATATAGTGCAGCTCAAAGAGCGGCGCAATGCAGCTTGGGATGAGCGGTTCGATCACATCGCGCGTCACTTCGAGAAGGAGAGGAGAAATATCGATGACTGGATCTGTGCTGAAGAGAACCGACCGAAGAAAGAGCTGCTAGAAGAGAAGAAGAAACGAGACTACTTTGACGATGAGGACGAGAGAGACAAGGACGGCGATGTGGATGCCGCCGGAGACGTTGATGACGATATTCCACAGCCGCGGCCGCCGCATCATCCTCCTCCTCCGATCAACATACCCAGTATGCCGATTTCAAGCCATGCATCGATGCGACCCTCACCACTTGCAGGTGATATCGCGCTAGGAACTGCAGTAAAACGACAGCGTTCAGAAGATTCGGCATATGGCGAACGACACCCAAAGCGAAGACAAACGACCATGGTAACAAATCGCTATTGTGTAAGTCACCATTTCAGCTGTTCGTAACAGTGCTAACAGATATAGTGCACATGTCTGAACCCTTGCGGTGTTGTAGATGTTGCTTGCGCAAACTGCAATCATCGCGTCTGCGCCAATTGCAATGTTGAAGAGACGGAGGCTTTCATGATGGATTTCTTTTGCGCAGACTAGTGATATCTCAGAGCGCAGATCCAGATACCCAGTAGATGATTTTTGCATATGTGAATCGACGTAAAGTGAAAGAATGTTGCATGCTTAATGGCGCGCCGTGGCTGTCGCGGACATGGTGATGGTGATGACGTTGCAGGGGTGTTGAAGGTCGGCGAAACCAAATGCCGAGGCGTGGAGTTGGAAACGTGTGCTCATGAAGCATAGCTCTCGAGAAGTTCCGTGACGCGGCCTTGCGACCAACAACCTCACCTTCCTTAACTTCTCCTGCAAACATGGCTGCCGCCGTAGATGACGGGCAGCTGCTCAAGCAGGCGACTGGCCGCAACACTCGAGGCTTGCTCCGGGTGATTATCTTGTGCCTCATCGCTGCCGCCGCCGTAAGCAGTCGTCTGTTCTCCGTTATTCGCTTTGAAAGCATCATTCACGAGTGTTAGTACTACAATTGAGGAGATATGGGGCAATTGACTGATTATGCAATACAGTCGATCCGTGGTTCAACTTCCGAGCGACGAAATACCTTGTACAGAATGGCTTCTACAGCTTCTGGGACTGGTTCGACGACCGTACGCATCCCCGCCGCATGCTCCAATGCCATATAGCTACAATGGACTGACATGGAATGCAGGAACATGGCACCCTCTTGGACGAGTCACGGGTGGTACTCTCTACCCCGGACTGATGGTCACCAGCGGTGTCATCTACCACGCCCTCCGCGCTCTCGCCATGCCCGTCGACATTCGAAACATCTGTGTCCTCCTCGCGCCTGCCTTCTCGGGTCTTACCGCGCTCGCGACTTACCTCCTGACCTCCGAGATGGTCCCGTCGCCCTCCGCCGGTCTGCTCGCCGCAGCCTTCATGGGCATCACCCCCGGTTATATCTCGCGATCCGTCGCAGGAAGTTACGATAACGAGGCCATTGCCATCTTCCTGCTTGTCTTCACCTTCTTCCTGTGGATCAAGGCAGTCAAGCTCGGATCCATGTTCTGGGGTGCATTGACTGCGCTGTTCTACGGATACATGGTGTCAGCGTGGGGTGGATACGTCTTCATCACCAACTTGCTGCCCCTGCACGCTTTCGTCTTGATCTGCATGGGACGATACAGCCCGAGGTTGTATGTCAGTTATACTTCGTGGTATGCGCTTGGCACGCTTGCGAGTATGCAGATTCCCTTCGTCGGTTTCTTGCCCATCCGCAGTAGCGAGCACATGTCCGCGCTTGGCGTCTTTGGCCTCCTCCAGCTGGTGGCCTTTGTCGACTGGGTTCGCGCACAGCTTCCCGGCAAGCAATTCCAGACGCTTCTCCGCGCTCTGGTTCTGAGTGTCTTCCTCATCGGTGTCGGAGGACTGGTGCTTCTTACCGTTTCTGGTGTCATTGCGCCCTGGACTGGCCGCTTCTACTCGCTTTGGGATACCGGATACGCCAAGATTCACATTCCTATCATCGCCTCCGTTTCCGAGCACCAGCCTACCGCATGGCCCGCTTTCTTCTTCGATCTCAACATGATGATCTGGCTCTTCCCCGCCGGTGTCTACCTGTGCTTCCGCACTTTGACTGACGAGCAGGTCTTCATTGTCATCTACGCTGTGCTCGCCAGTTACTTCGCTGGTGTCATGGTCCGTCTCATGCTCACTTTGACTCCCATTGTCTGCGTTGCATCGGCAATCGCTTTCTCGCAGATTCTCGACACCTACCTCGACGTCAAGACCCCCAAGCCCGTCACCGAGAACGGCAGCACCGATACCGCTGCAGTCGCTGCTGCAGCTATCCTTCCCGAGGGTCTCCGATCTACACGCAACCCGCTCGTCGGCATCTACTCGTATGCCTCCAAGCTTACCGTCGCCGGAACCGCCGCCATCTACCTCATGCTGTTCGTTCTGCACTGCACATGGGTCACTTCGAACGCCTACTCTTCGCCGTCCGTCGTGCTCGCATCCAGACTTCCTGACGGTAGCCAACACATCATCGATGACTACCGTGAGGCATACTACTGGCTCAGGCAGAACACCCCTCAGAACGCCAAGATCATGTCGTGGTGGGACTACGGATACCAGATTGGTGGTATGGCCGACCGCCCAACCCTTGTCGACAACAACACCTGGAACAACACGCACATCGCTACCGTCGGTAAGGCTATGAGCTCCAGGGAGGAGGTCAGCTACCCCATCATGCGTCAACACGAGGTCGACTACGTATTGGTCGTCTTTGGTGGTCTACTTGGCTACTCTGGAGACGACATCAACAAGTTCCTCTGGATGGTCAGGATTGCCGAGGGTATCTGGCCCGATGAGGTCAAGGAGCGCAACTTCTTCACTCCACGAGGCGAGTACCGTGTGGACGAGGAGGCTACCCCCACTATGAAGAACAGCTTGATGTAAGTGATTTGGTCCCACCGACTCCAGCAGATACTAACAGCAGATCAGGTACAAGATGTCTTACTACAACTACAACGCGCTGTTCCCCGCCGGACAAGCCCAGGACCGTGTCCGTGGCGCGCGTCTCCCCGCTCAAGGCCCCGAGCTCAGCACCATCGAAGAGGCCTTTACCAGCGAGAACTGGATCATCAGGATCTACAAGGTCAAGGATCTTGACAACTTTGGTCGCGACCATCAAAGCGCCGTATCGTTCGACAAGGGCCACAAGAAGAAGCGGTCCACCAAGAGGAAGGGACCTAGGGTATTGAGAGTTGAGTAGAAATGATGGGCGTATCAAAATCTTGCTAGAGATCTATAGCATTTGTACAAATAAGAAGCCATATCGGCATTGTTCGCAGGCGGGCGTCTGGGAAGAAATAAAAGAATATCTAAGTCCCATCGTCGGTATCTTCGAGATGAGTTGCGGTGAGTTTGACTATTATCATTGGAGATGCGGTTTCGCAGTCGCGCAATCCTGCTTGCGCGTCTGCTCTTTCACTTTGACTCCACGTTCGTCAACATGCTTTCTCACATGCTTTTCCAACCATCATTTGTCTACCCCACATCTCTCTTTGTCGCTCCTTCCTCTTAACACCTCCTCGCGCTTTCCCGGTCGCCCACGTGGGACCCACGGCCAGGGCCACTCTTCCGGCTTCCCTCCGCCTTCGAGTCGCACGTCCGCACCTGCTCAAACCACAATATGGCGAACGAAGAACAGAGAAGGGCCTTTGAGTCGTACATGGGCCGCACTGGCGGCAGTGGCAGTAACGGGCAAGGCCAAGATCAAGGCCAGCCAATTCCCCAGTACCCCGGCTCCTTCGCCCGGCCAGCCAATTCGTATCTTTACAATGTGTAAGTGCGCCATTGTCGCCTGAGACCAGAAGTTGGCTGACAGCAAGAATAGACGTAATCATGTTCGGCCCCATCTCATCGACGTCCGCGCGCAGTGCGTCAGCAAATATAGAACCTGGCTTACCCACCGTGTAGCAATTCCAAGGGCTCGGAGTCCCTCCCGCAGCACCCACGCCTCCGCCGGCTGCCTCGTCCGTCGCTTCTTTTCCCGGATACCAGGGAGGCTATCCTCAACAGACTGGGTACCCTCAACAGGCTGGATACCCTCAGCAGGGTGGATACGGCCAGGGCGTGTACAATCATCTGGGGATCCCACAGCGCCCACCACCGCTCCTAAGCCCTCGGTCACAACAACAGGATCAACAGCAGATACCGCCAGTAGCCGGACCACAAGGGCACGCTCATATTCCACAGGGCTACGACGCACGACCACCGCCTCCGCCAGGATACAACGCCGACTGGCAGTATAGCAATCCAGGTTCTGGGATGGAACGTCGACGAACTGCTCCTCTTACGAGCGCGATGGTACCGTCGTCACGCAACACGCAGCAAGAGATCATGGAGTCAAGATCGAGGCAGACAAGCGAGCAATACCACTACGAACAATACGGACAATCACATGCCGCGCAAGCACCACCTCCGCAGGTAGAAGAAGTAGCTGTGCCAGTTATGCTCTGTCACACCTGCAGTCACTGCGGCGAGATGCGCTCCGCAGGTTTCCATCGCAACAACCCGGTCCTTCCTAACAAGCCCATGATCCCCACACCCTGTCGAAGGTGCAAAAAGAAGCTTGCAGGCGCACATCGCTCAAGCAGCAGATACAGGTACATTCGAAGATGTACGGCCGAGGAACCCTGCGACTGGCCTAGAGAGTGTGTCCACATCGACATCGACCATGACGAGCGGAGGGGCCGGAGACAAAATAGAGAGGAGATCTATGTTACGCGATACTCTCCCAGTCGTCCTCGTGTTGTTAGACGAGAGTCCAGTCAGGCGCGCCTGGGCCTGCGAGTACTTCAACAGCCGACACAAGAGTTTAGGTCGGAACGAAAGCTCAAAACTTCCTCGTTGAGTCCTCGCCGCTCTTCCAGGTATGCTGGTGAAGTTTGGCCCCCGCCTGACATCGTCCGCACTAGAGAAACACGGTCGGATGAAGTGTACCCTGCGCCACCTCCACCACTTCCCAGTCTTACCTCGAGATCTGACGAGGTGTGGCCTCCTCCAGACGTTGTCCGTACTCACTCCTACAGGAAGGTCGAGCGAAGTCCATCGCGCCGGACAAGTTCAAGGATCATCGAACTCAGTCCGTCACCCCCACCGCGGACAAAATCTTCGAGAGTTGTCTATCGGAGCGAGTCTCAGGAACGTCGGACTAGGAGTGCAAGTAGATCTCCAATTCGTGTTAGCCTACGGGCTGAAAGGAGAAACGAGGAAGCGGAAGCTCGTCTCATGTCGCGTCCGAGACCGTACCACCCGATTGGACCAGAGCAGCGTAGCTTTCTCAAGGCGTCGGATGAAACTTCGAGCAATGCTGATTCGATGCCACGTCGCCGTTTGGATTCACCTAGTCGGAGCATCCTGAAGCCCCTAGGCACCGAGCACGAAACCTCCCACAGGCGAAGAGATACCATGCGCGAAAGTCAGCAGAGCATGCGCGTCGAAGTCGGAGGACCTCGTGTTCACTTTGGTGGTGGAAGAAGGCAAGAAGAGCCAGTACTTGAGCCAAGAGGAAGATCTAGGTATGCCGACGAACGACTGGCGAGGGGCGACAAGTACGAGCATTACCGAGAGTATTCCCGCAGTCGGGTTGTAGACGATCCTCCACAAGAGCCACTATCCCAGGACTTCGAGAGGATCCGTATACGGCACTCATCGCCATCTCCAAGAAGGGAGTACGAAGAGGAAATTCGCATTGATCGACAGCGCCGTATTTCACCTTCTCCTCCGCCCTCAAGACGGTTTGAGGAGGTACTCGTGCGGAACATCTCTCCTCTTCCCGCACGTCGCACACCCCGTCTTCCGCCCTCTCCTCTGTCACCCGAACGGCCACCGCGGCCACTATTTCGCCATGTCTCCCGCCCACGAGCACTCGAACGGACTCGTTCTATGACTCCACCGCCTAGTCGCCGAAGACAAGAAGATGATGATACCGATTCGGAGAGCGCACATTCAGCTGAGATCAATGATATAAGAAGCTGGAAGGGTATCGATGAAAATGGACAACCTGCTACATTTGTGGAAGAGAGGAGGGCGGTGAGGATGATCGATCAGGGAAGTGATAGAGGTGGGCTTGCGAGAGAGTATCGTGAGATGGGTAGAGGCCCGAGGCTGGATACGAGAGAGCGAGTGACTAGTCGGAATTGGAGAGATGTCTAGGCTGTTGGAGGGGATGAGTATGTAAAAGTCTGGCACTGGCGAGCTGTATGGTTGCTATGCTATGAGGCGGAGCATCCTTGGATTGGTTTTGAACGATTACTGATGCATAGATACCTACGATACCTCTTTAGATTTCTTTCAATGTCATGTTTTCAGCGAAAGCAGACTTTGGATCAGGTGATGTCTGATTCGAGCGATTCTCTACTAACATATTCCACGGAAGATAAACGCACAGACCTTTGACGGTGCATATATAAGCTCACAGCCTGCTGCTTCCTTACTTTCCATACCATCTTTCAGACCTGAAACATATTCAAAAAAAACATGGCCGCCAGCGATGGAATTTTTCCTGGCTTTCAAAACTGCACTGCTGAAAATCCTATGCTGAGAAGGACGCTTTCTCTTCCCATTCCTTTACTGCTTTCTGAAAAGACAAGTCTCCAAAAGACAGACTGCACAAGCACATGTCTGTTGGTTCTCCGCCAGAGGTTTCTCCAAATTGTCAGATCAACATGCCATGTGCGCATTCCAAAAAACGGCAACGACGCGGTTATGGCCAGGGGCTGTTGGCCATTGCTCTCTTCCACAACTTCCTTGTTTTCGGAGTGAGAAAAGCGTGAAGAAAAGATTCGATGAGACTGAGTGTTCACTTTCACGCAAAAAAAAAGAAAAAGAAGCTATGTCAAATGGCGTGAGTAGTGCTGGGTCGGGTATAAAACATCGACCTGGTACTGCTCTTCTCTTCGCATACACTCTACTTTTCCCACTAAAACAATACACAATGGTTTGATGTTCCAAAAAGTATCGAGAGCATGCGATGTGTTCTGCGTTGTTTGAACCAAACCCATAGGCTATAGTTTTATGTGTGAGCAGGAACTCAAGACATGCTGAACGTATGTTTGAGTGTACGCTGCAGCATTCACATAAGAAGTTTTGATGTTCTTGTCGGAAAATACGGTTCCGAGACACGTACTTGCGCACGTCATGGAGAAGACCAAGGAGACTAGATGTGCTGTTATCGAATACACGAACACATGTGTTCATCTTCAAAAACACGAGAATGTCCTTTGATGGTTAAGAGTGCTCAGGCAGTCACTAACTATGCGCCAACACTATGGTGTTCGCTGATATGTATTGATGCTGGATAGCTGGCCCGCAACATACTTGGCCATGACTTGTATAACAAAGCTGGTATAGCGCACTGACCGCTCACATATATAAAACCCCGTTTCTGCACCTCACAGTCTTCCTCTTATCAACCCAAGCTGCTCGGTCTCCAACTCAAAATACTGAGATGCTCTTTCATGTCTTCTTACCAAAAAAATCGAGGGCGTCGAATTATGTCCTGGCGCGAGCTGAGAACGGAATCCATCCAAGGGCAATTGACAATCAAAATGCACATTCTACAATGACATGTCCCGTTTCGACGATGCGAGAAGCACACAGACCTTGGGGTTCTGTCCTCTTTCTTTTTTTCATGTCTCGAGGGCTCCTTGCCCGCCTTCGATATATCAAAACTACACGAGACCAATGCCATGGCCGATCCTCCTGAGCTCTAGGACAAAATCAAATGAACGCATCGTCATGCACAAGGAGAGCCAGTACTTCCAAGAAACGAAAAAAGGGTGCAGGGTAGACATGTAGCGCTCGCACTTGACATAAAACCACTGAACGAGAGTGTCATGCTTCGTCTGCATCTGTCAAAGATCGCGCGCTCAAATTGCTGTCGACGACCGACATCGACGGCTATATAAAGCCTTTCATCTGCGCTTTGCGCTTCTGCACTCTCTACCACTTTTCCCCGGGAACTCATACTTCAAAAAAGACGACGGATCGCTGTATGGATTTTTTATCCCAAGACAACCAATAAAGGAGGCTTCTATGCTAGCTGGGAATGGGTCTTGTTCACATGGCTTTACGGCAGCCTTGATACTTTGACGCTGGCGATACCGTACCGAGTCGAGTATCGGTCGCTACTCGAAATGATCCTGCCAGATGTAACATCACGGTGCATTGTATTTGAAACCAAAAGAAAGCACTTCGATGTCACAT